TACATACCCAACTCCCACCACCACTGAGGCCCACGCTCCCTACCTCTAGGAAGCCTTCCCACCAATCGACTAATCGATCAGTTGATCATCATGGTTCCTCTCCCCCTCCTGCAGCACCATCTCTCCCAGCTCGCCACCTTGTACCATCATTCTCCAGCATGGCACGTCCCAGCCATCAGCTACTACTGACACTGGGCCATTTGTCTTCCTGTCTTCTGTTTCTGTGCCAGACCCTGACTGTCTCATCAAGACTGGAGAATCATAAACAGAGCCCACCCTTCCCTAAGGCTTCTAGTCAGCGAATCAGGTGATGAGCAACAGAGTCCCCGGGCTTTCCCACTGGCTGTCCCAGGTTTACAAGTGCAGCTTTGGATGGCACTTTCACCCTCGCTGCCAGCAGACACCCTTGTGTGTACCAAGAGAAAAGGGACAACTTTAGTTATGCCTTGCGGGAAATGCTATAGGGGAGGACACTTAATGTGATCAAGGTTTCTACAAGAGAGAAGGCCCCCACATGTCCCCAACCTCTGAGATTCTAAGCCTGACAACCTACTTCTCTAAGCAAGCAGCTGCACCATCTCTGCCTGGCCTTGGGAATATACCAGACACAAAATCCTCTAGAGGAGCTAGGCACAGTGGCTCACGTCTGTAATCCCAGCACTTTGGGAGGCTGAGGCAGGCGGATCACCTGAGGTAAGAAGTTCGAGACCACCTTGGCCAACATGGTGAAACCCTGCCTCTACTAAAAATACAAAAACTAGCTGGGCATGGTGGTACACACCTGTAGTCCCAGCTACTTGGGAGGCTGAGGCAGGAGAATCACTTGAACCCAGGAAGCGGAGGTTGCAGTGAGCCAAGATTGCACCACCACACTCCAGCCTGAGCAAGTGTGAGAATCCATCTTAAAAAAAAAAAAAATAGAGGATCAATGTAGCCACACACTCCAGGCCAGGTGTGGTCTCACTGGGTCATTTTCATGGTTTCTACCCACTCAACCCCTCATTGGTCAGACTCCCCTCCCCTGTTGGGAAGCCCCGACAGAGGAATTTCAGGCAGTTTCCCCATTCTCTGAGACCCCTGGTAAAGTCTGCCCACCCCTAGGGCAAGTTTCTTACCTGGCTGCTTTCTCCAGGGTCCTCATTGCTCTGCAACCTGGACAGATCCACTTCCCAGATAATCCCAAGACCTGCCCATCAGCCATAAGGAGGCCCCAAATCCCCTTTCACCTCTGCTAACCCAGGATCCTACTTCTCCAGGGCTAGCTCTCAGTCATGATGTACTAATTCACAATCAAAAGTTAGTGACTATGAGGACCTTGCAGGAGAATTTCACTTCTTGTGAAACAGAAACTGGCCCACTCAGTACCAAGGCAGCTTGGGTGTCCACTCCCTCCCAAACACTGTGAACCCTAGGTCAGAGGCAAGCCAGCATTCTCCAAAAATGGAAGTCAGGGCCCCACCATGCCCACTTCAGAGGGCTGCCTCGAGGAGCAAAGGAAGCGTCTGGAAAACGCCCAGGCAGGATGCATGATGGAACATTTATCCCAGGAGCTAAAATAATGAGATTTCAGGAAAAGCTGGGAGTTAGGGGACTCCAGGTGACCCGGGGAGGTGGCTGGGCTGGACTGGGTGGCACTTACCAAGTTTCACACTCTGCACGCGGCCTCCGATGCGGCTGGAAGCCTCAAGCACAGTGACATCCGTGAAGCCCTGCTCAAGAAGTGCTTTGGCTGCAGCCAGGCCAGCCAAGCCGGCGCCGATCACCACCACACGAGGCTGTCCCCTTCTCCGCAGGCCACGACTGAGAGGGTCATCCGCACTGTCGCCACTGGATTCACAACTTTGCATACCGTCCGCACTCACCTTCTAGGAACCTGCAGGGGGAGAGGGAATCACAGCTTACTGGCTCTGCCTTCACTTCCCATCTGCCCCAAGGGACACTCAGGGCTCCCATCACACTCTGCCCTCTGTTGCAGGAGGACCTGGAGTCTCTCCCTCTCTCTCTGAGGACCTGAACAAGAAAAGCCACCTCCAAAGGGGCAGGGAGGGAGGGAAGAAGAAATAAGGGAAGGTGAGAGGAAGGGATGAAAAAAGGAAGAAAGGGAGGGAAGGAGAAAGTAAGGGAGGGATGCATTTTGGGTCCCTACCAGCAGGCAGGAGACCTGAGAGCCCATCTTAAGCCCCTGAAATTCTCAATTCCACTCCTAAACTTGTTGGGCACTGCCTCTTCCCTGACAGGTCCCAAAGTGGAGATGAGAGGCGGCAATTGAAGAGATGGCCGCAGTCAGGAGAGACTGAGGCTTGGGGCTGCTGATTCTGGACCAGCTCAGCATGGCATGGCTGCTGTGGTCCACCTGGTGCCAATGCCAGGATGCTCACACAGACCCTGGGATACTTGCCTGGACCCCAAGATACTCACACAGACTCCCCAGGATACTCACACAGACCACAGGATACTTGCCTGGGCCCCAAAATACTTGCATGGACCCCAGGATACTTACCCAAAGATACTTGTCTGGACTCCCAGGATACTCACACAGACCCCAGGATACTCACACAGACACCAGGACACTCACACAGACACCAGGATACTTGCACACACGTCTGGACCCTCTGCTCTCCCTCCTTTGCCTGGCTCTTCCCTGGCGCTCTCTCTCTCTTTCCCTTGCCCCTTCTCTTGTCTCTGGCTTTCTGTTGGTCTTTCACAGCCTCAATGAAGTGGCAATTTGGTGGGCAGGACATAGTCCCGCCCTCCCCCCGAAAAAGTGCCACGAGGCCTGCATCCAACAAGCCTGCTATTCCGGGTAGGTTGTTTTCCCAGCCACCCAGTCCCTCAGCCACCACAAAGCAGCAAGGAGCCCAGGAAACAGTGGACCAACAGGACCCATGGCACCAGAGGCCAGACATAAAATTGACAGTTACACTAAGTCAGTTTGCTCAGAGATGCCAGACTACGGGAGCTGATGGCTGGGAGACCAAAGGGGTCCCTGATGGCTGGGAGACCAAAGGGGTCCCTGAATCTGGCTCCAGGGATAGGAGAGGCTGCTTTTCTTTCCCCAGAATGACCAGGAGGGTTTGGAGGTATCTGGGGGCCACCCTGAGGAACCACTCAGCTCAAATGCTGTCCCTGTTCCTTCCCTGATTCAAGCAATTTAGATTCCAGTTGTCTTTGCTGAGGTTTAAGTGGCAGAATTTGCAGAATCTAATAGTATCCAGGATCTAACAGGGAACAAATGTGGGTGGAAGATGGCTGCTGGACATCAGACAAGGGGCACTGTCGCCCATACCTAATAAAGCTGCACATAACTGTTCCCTTGACATAGCAATCCCACTCTTAAGAATACACCGGCTGGGTGCAGTGGCTGACATCTGTAATTCAGCACTTTGGGAGACCAAGGCAGGCAGATCACGAGGTCAGGAGTTTGAGATCAGCCTGACCAACATGGTGAAAACCCATCTCTACTAAAAATGAAAAATTAGCTGAGGGTGGTGGTGTGTGCCTGTAGTCCTAGCTACTCAGGAGACTGAGGCAGGAGAATTGCTTGAACCCAGGAGGTGGAGGTTGCAGTGAGCCAAGATCGCACCATTGCACTCCAGCCTGGGCGACAGAGCAAGACTCCATCTCAAAAACAAAAAAAATACACCCAACAGAAAGAGGGCATATTCCACCAAAGACACATGTCTAAGAGTGTATACAGCAGTTATACTTATAACATCCTGAAAATAAAAACACCCCACACAGGTCCATCATCAGGAGAACAGACACATATATGGTGCTGTAGGTAAATATCCATACCGTGGACTATTCTTCAGCAATAAATAGAACCCCACTACTGATATTCCCAACAACACAGAGGCACCTCAGTCATACGCTAAGCAAAAGAAGCCAGAGACAAAAGGGCACGGACCATATGACTCCATTTACATGAAGGTCAAGAAGAAGCAAACCCAATCTGTGAACCTAGAGGTCAGAAGAAAGGTTATGAGGCAGGGAGATGGCAGAAGTGGGCAGGAGGGGCCTTTCTAAAGTGGAGGGAATAAATATCTTAATCCGAAAGGTAGGTACCCAGTGCACATATGAAGATTCACTGAATTGCACATATAAGATATGTGTAATTTACTGTATGTATCTAATAGATCTCACTAACAAGACAGTCATTCCTGCCTTCCAATCAATCCATCAAAGGCTGCCACACTAACTTTCTTCTCCATGCATTTCAGGGTCTGACTATTGAGGTTTCCATCCTGCTTGGAACAGCAGTGTCCTTAACATCACTTTTTATTTTATTTTTTTTTTTTTTTTTGAGATGGAGTCTCACTCTGTCGCCCAGGCTGTAGGGCAGTGGCGCAATCTCGGCTCACTGCAACCTCTGCCTCCTGGGTTCAAGCGATTCTCCTGCCTCAGCCTGCTGAGTAGCTGGCATTACAGGCGCCTGCCACCGGGACCGGCTAATTTTTGCATTTTTAGTAGAGACAGGGTTTCGCCATCTTGGCCAGGCTGGTCTTGAACTCCTGACCTCATGTTCCACCCGCCCTGGCCTCCCAATGTGCTGGGATTGCAGGCATCAGGCACCACGCCTGGCCAATATCACTTAAACGACATAGGTAAGCAAAGAGGGCTTTTTTTGAAATACGCTCAGGCTGAGAAGCTGCTCTTTGTGCCTCCCCGGCCCGTTCCAACTGTCCCACGACGCACCTGGGCCTAGACGGGAAACCTCCCCCGACCCCCCGCCCCTAAATGCCCTCCAAGCCCCCGGAGACCCAGGCCCCTCCACTCCACGCAGAACCGGTTCCCAAAATGGCCGGGAGGTGGCGCCCGAGGCCCAGAGCCCCATCCGGGCAGCCTCCAGTTCGGAGGCAGGGGCTCCCGCTCCGCTTCCCAGACAGCTCGCGGCGCGCTTTCGCTGGGGATGAGGCCACGCCTGGCGCAGGGCAGCTCCGGCCCTTCCCTCCTCCCTGTTTCTGTCCTCTGACTCCCGCCCCTCTCCTCCCTCGCCCCTGCCCCAGGTTCTCCTTCCTGCGGACTAAATTTAGAGGTGAGGATGTGGCCGCCCGCATGGGGCGGGCGGGGAGGTCAGCGGGGATGCCGCCGGATGTCTGCCAGCCGGGCCGGGACGCTGCGTCAGGTCGGTAAACACGCGGCGTGCTCCGGAGGGGCCGCGCCAGCTGTGACGGGACGCTGCCACCCCGGGCACCCCGGACTGACGTGGGCACCCCGGACTGACGTGGCGCCGCGACCCGCCCAGCCTCCGTCCCGGCGCCCCTGCCCCAGGCCACCCCGCACACAGTCTCCACTACGGGGAAGGATGGCTGCAGCGGCTCTCACACCTTACTGGTGGAACCCCTCCTTGAAAAGCTGCTATGGGAGCCGGGGTGCAGCAGGCATTAAACTGGGGGTTCCCCTCACCCCAGTCTCCCTGGACCACCACCTCTGAAAACCAAGGGACCAGATAAGCTCTAGCCTTGGGAAGCCAGGAGAGGGAACGGCACTTGGTGCCAGCAAGCCTCGTGCATGAAGATAATTTGTCAAGCGCCTCAGCTGCATCATGAGCAGACTGTCTGTGGAACCGACCCTGGGAATGCGGGCAGCCACTCTGCCTCCAAGATCAGCACAGAAAGAACCCCCAGCTCTCCGCACGGGGTCTCAGAGACTTTGAACTCAAACAGACATGGCATATGGAATGCCATGCAGGTAAGCAGGGCCCATATGAGTCCCCTGCACCCCTGACCCTCACAGCTAATCCACAGTCCTGTTTCTCCTCAGGCCCTGTCCCAGATAAGCCCCTCAACCCCCGGTGCCTCCAGGAAGCCAGAGAAGCCCCTACACAGCCCATAGAGGGCAGAGAACGAGTCTGTCCTGTGGCCCCCATATCATCTCTTGGGGCCAGCATACCCTGGGGTCCAACTGAAAGGGAGAAGAGAGAACATCGCCAGGGCACCTACTGTGTGCTGAATGCCTGCTGAGGAGTGGGGGGGAGAGAATTTCGCCAGGGCACCTACTGTGTGCTGAATATCTGGTAGGGAGTGGGAGAGAGAACATCACCAGGGCACCTACTGTGTGCTGAATACCTGGTAGGGAGTGGGAGAGAGAACATCACCAGGGCACCTACTGTGTGCTGAATACCTGGTAGGGAGTGGGAGAGAGAACATCGCCAGGACACCTACTATGTGCTGAAGGCCTGGTGGGGAGTGGGGGCAGTAAGGGGCAACTTGTTTTCTGTTGGTTTGTGTCATCATTTCCTTTCCCTTTTGGATTTATTTTTGTTGTTGTTGTTGTTGTTGTTTTAATGCATAAGAAACTGCCTTATTGAGGAAGGAGAATCGCTTAAATGATCCTCAGTGCTGTCCTTCTCTCTCCTTGGGGAAAAAAAGAAAGAAATAACATCCGCTCCTTGATCTGTATGCACAGGAGAAACAGAACACCCTGTACTTTCTGAGCAGATAAAGGAGAGAAGAAAAAAGTGCTGGCTCAGCCAGGCAGGGAAGAGGAGGAGGGCGGGAAACAGACACTTGCCTTCTTGCTCCTGCTTCCATGGCAAAGTGGGGGCATGAGCCTCTTGCCCAGTGCCTGCACCCGCGCCTGGTTTATTCTCCCATGTTCCCAAGCAGGCTATGCCTGGGAGTGTCAAGAAATCAGGCCAGCCAGGGCATGAGTGCACCCCCCGGTCCCCTAGCAACTTCATCCAAGATGAAGCCAATTTTTCAGCCTGCAGGCCACCGCCTCCCCCAGCTGCCCAGAGCCACCACCACCCTGACTGAAGCGTCCCAAGAAGCCATACTGGACATAAGAAGGCAGCAGGGGACAGAGAGAGGGAAAGAGGGAAGAAAAACCCTGTTCTGTGGCAGGGTCGCAAAAGATGGATGAATAAAGACTTGGAATTCAGGTGACCAGAGTGGGCAAAGCCACCAAGCTTTGTGTGAACTGCCACTTCTTCATCCCATCCCCAGAACATCCTCCCAATTTCATTTTGACACCCTCAGAAATTTACACTCTAGTTACAGTGAGCTGAGATCAGACCACTGTGCTCCAGCCTGGGTCACAGAGTGAGACCCTGTCTCAAAAAAAAAAAAAAAAAAAAAAGTAAAGAAATTTACACTCCAGGAAGTGCCTCCTAATGGCCAAATACTAGAGACACATGTTAGTCCTGGTCTTCAATGTTTGACCCTGTCAATCCCCCCTTTGGAAATGCCCAGAACTAAACTGGGGGCACCACCTAACTCCTAGCACTTCCCCATTGAGGTCAAATCACAGGAGCCTCAAGCAGCCCCAAGGCTCAAACCTGGAGGCACCCTTAGTGGGAGATTCTCCTCATTTATCGGTTCAAGCCATGGCAACCCCACAGCCTGAATCACTGTCACCTCCACCCCTAACTGCCCCAGGAGCACCCCCCACCCTGCCTCCTCTATCTGAGCCTCCCCTGTATGGGTCTCAATCTCCCAGTCCCACCCTCCAAAGACAAGCACAGCTGAGCATCTCACTGACCAGGGAATATAATTTAGCAATTCACTGAGCACCTACTATGTAGCAGGCCTCGGAACAATCTCTGCATGTCGGCCTTGCCCTCTGGACCCAGCTGGCCTTTCTAGCTTCAGTTCTCACTCACAACTGCCCCCAAAACATACAGATAGACCCCCAGCTTCACCAAAGTCTGGAGCCTCCCCAGCCCCACCTACCTGAAGGCCCACAGGAAACAGCCTTTCTCATATACATCAGAGAAGGTGGTTCTGCCAGGTGTGGTGGCTCACACCTGTAATCCCAGCACTTTGGGAGGCAGAGGCAGGCAGATCACAAGGTCAGGAGTTCCAGACCAGCCTGGCCAGAATGGTGAAACCTTGTCTCTACTGAAAATACAAAAATTAGCTGGGCATGGTGGCATGCACTTTTGTCCCAAGCTACTCAGGAGGCTGAGACAGGAGAAATGATTGAACCTGGGAGGTGGAGGTTGCAGTGAGCCAAGATTGCGCCACTGCACCCCAGCCTGGGAGACAGGGCAAGACTCCGTCTTGGGGGGAAAAAAAAAAAAGACAAAGAGGTAGAGAAGCTGGTTCTGGGTTCTCTTAACATAAGCAAACCCTTGTGTGACTTCAGGGCTGGGTGTTGCTCGAACCACCAGCAGAGCCTGCTCCATTACTGTTTTCTGAACAACAGACACCCTTGAAATATGAGTCCCTCCCACTGGTTCTGGTACTGGTTCTGCACTGTCACCTGCCCCCAGCCTACCCCCAAAGCACGGCATCTCACCCCAGGAAATTCTGTTGTCTGTTATCTCAAGAGTGAGGCTGAAGCTCCACAGCCACGGAGCAGGGCTGAGGTCCCAGGTTAAGACTGGTGAATCCCTGCCCAAGGTGAGCGCAGCCAAGCCATGTGAGCGAACCACAGTGGACTCAATCACCCACCTGTGTGTACGGTGCCCCTTCTTCAACACTGAAGCCCACCTCAGCATTACCCAAAAATCAGTACATCACATCCCTCTCCAAGAGTGGCTACTGCAACAAAACAGTGCCAGGAGAGGCTAGCCTTCAGTACCCCACACCCTTCCAAGACACCAAACTCTGGCCAGGTGTGATCAGAGCCATTACAGATGGCACACCTGCAATCCCAGAACTTTGGGAGGGCAAGGTGGGAGAATTGCTTTAGCCCAAGAGTTAAGAGACCGGCCTGGACAACATAGTGAGACCTAGTTTCTACTAAAAATTTAAAAATACAAACATATTCAGACTGTCTGAAACATAAAGAAAAAAATAAAAAATAGAATATTAGCTGGTTGCGGTGGCACGCGTCTGTAGTCCCAGCTACACTGGAGATCAAGGAGGAATGATGGCTTGAGCCTGGGAATTCAAGATTGCAGTGAGCTATGATTGTCCCACTGCACTCTAGTCTAGGAGACAGAGCAAGACCCTGTCTCTAAAATAAAATTAAATAGAGCTTTAATTTTTTTATATTTTATTTTTATTTATTTACTTACTTATTTATTTTTTGAGGCGGAATCTCACTCTGTTGCCCAGGCTGGAGTGCAGTGCTGCGATCTCGGCTCACTGCAACCTACACCTCCCTAGGTTCAAGCAATTCTCCTGCCTTCGGCCTCCCCAGTAGCTGGGATTACAGGCATGCACCACCACACCAGCTAATTTTTTTTTTTTTTTTTTTTTGTATTTTTAGTAGAGAGGGGGGTTTCACCATATTGGCCAGGCTGGTCTCAAAGTCCTGACCTTGTGATCCACCCAGCTTAGCCTCCAAACTGCTGGGATTACAGGTATGAGCCACCATGCCCGGCCGAGCTTTAATTTTAAAAAGAGAGCGACAGCCAGGTATGGTGGCTCATGCCTGTAATCCCAGCACTTTGGGAGGCTGAGGCAGGCAGATCACTTGAGCTCAGGAGTTCAAGACCAGCCTGGCCAACATGGTAAAACCCTGTCTCTATTAAAAATACAAAAATTAGCCAGGTGTAGTGGTAGGTGCCTGTAATCCCAGCACTCGGGAGGCTGAGCCAGGAGAATCTCTTGAATCTGGGAGGTAGAGGCTGCAGTGAGCCAAGATAGTGCCACTGCACTCCAGCCTGGGTGACAGAGCAAGACTCCGTCTCAAAAAAAGAGAGAGAGAGAGAGAGAGAGAGAAAACTCCTACTCATCTCTGGCTCCCTCTGAACACAGCCTATTCCCAAGTGTGCCTGGGCCTCGTCTTTTTCTCAAGGTCACCCTAGGATGAATTTCCTAATCTGTTTCCCAGAGAAAAGTGAGGCTTCTAGGAAATTGGCTCACCTGGCTCACTTTCCCTGGCTCTCCTTGGGGCCCAGGACTCCACCAGCTGAAGTGCCCCAAAATAGGTCCAGCCCTTCCACCAGCAGTCTCCCCCCTCCTCCAAGCCCCACATCTGCTCATGAGACCTGTCCAGGGCTGTGGTGCCCTCAGCAGCAGGAGACAGCTCACTTGCACCCTCCTCGACCAACCTTGGGGACTTTAAACCTCTCTTCCCAATGGACACTTCTATTCCCTGAGGGCAGCAGCCCGACCTCAGTTTCCCCAGAGGCCTCCCCCAACTCCGCTTTCTCAGGCTTCTAACAGGAGGAGGAGTGGGAGGGAGGCTGGGGACCTGCTCCAGGGGCACATCTTTGGACTGCGTGGAAGTGTGGGGAGGGATTTGGATTCTTGAGGCCCCCAGACAATGCAATTATTCTTCAAATGTAAAAACGCCCAGAAATCCCAGACCAGCTGCTTTGCACAACGGCCCAGACAAAGGGGCTCTGTGTCTGCGGTGAGGCCCCTCCCACCCCTCAACCAGGGAGGGGCTAGGCCCCAACTCCTCCCAGCCGGACCCTCCCCAGCCTCCTCACTCAGGCCAGCCAGGAAGTAAAAGGACTGCGCTGAGCCAGGCTGGGCCTCGCCAAGGAGAGAGAAGGGGGAGCAGGTGTGGGGAACAGAGAAGGGGCAGCCCATGAGCCCAGGAGACAAAAGGGAGGGAGAGAACACAGGCCCTGGAGCCCAGAGACCTGGGTTCAGGTCCAGCTCAATTTCTACCTTGCCAGGTGACCGCTGGGCCAGCGTGTCTTCCCTTCTCCAGGCCCCACTTAGCCAACACTTCTGAACTCACTCCAAGGATGCAGCCTCTGTACCCCACCACCGGGCACACTTGTCTAAGCCCTATCTGACATTTA